ATACGAACTAAGCTACTTAGCCAGGTGAAAACGATGAGCCAACATTAGAGTGCCACTTTGTTGCCGAGAGTTTGGGTGAGTGCTGAGCCCAGACCAAGCACCAACTCCCCCGTAACGAAGTGGCGCTCTTCTGTTGGAAAGAATCAAACGAGCTTGGCTGAGTTAGGCCGAAAGCCTACGAGAGACCCTGTTTGAAGAGCCTTCCGAACTAAATTGGCCTGCGAGAAAACAGAGGAAAGTAGCAAATTCATTACATTTACAAATAATCTCGCTTAGTCGGCTAGCTCATTCCTGATGACGTGTGAATGCAACGAACAACCACAAAAGCCCGGGTAAACAACAAGGGCTTGTGGCTTGTTTGCAGCAATTCTTCAGGATTAACGCACGGCATAGCTTTAATTTCGCGGCTCGCGAGAATAAGAATACAAGGGAAAGGGTAGACATATCCCAATACAAATAGTAATGACCTGAATCAGAATCCTAGTGTTCAAAAAACAACGCAGGAATGGCAACAAAACTACACTAAGCACAATAAAAACGGCCCTGACCCCGTGTAACACAGCTTGCAAGGCAAAGGCAAAGAACATCACAACCAGAAAACGGGAACAGAGCGAACAGCAGCACTGTAGGGTTTTGGCTGTTTCCATGTTGTTATCACACGGGTGAAATAAGAAAGAAAGGCGCCCGTGAACCAAAAGAATCCCCGAGCCCCCCCACCCCTCCTACCCACCCTAAACCTTAAACACCAAACCCCCAAACCCTACACCCCAGTTGGGGGAGTTTAGAACAGGAATTTAAACCTTGTTTCATATGGGGTGTCGGGTAGTGTTTTTTCAGGGATTCCCTACACCCTAAACCCTAAACCCTACACCCTACACCCTAAACCCTAAACCCTAAATCCCTAACCTAAGCCCTAGCCTAAACCCTAAGCCCTAAGCCCTAAGCCCTAAGCCCTAAGCCCTAAGCCCTAAGCCCTAAGCCCTAAGCCCTAAGCCCTAAACTCTAAACCTTCGGGCTTCGGCTCTGACTGAAGACAAGGCACTTGTGCTGAAGACTCATCCTTGTTGGGCAAGTGGCCGTCAGTCGCCTGACCTCCATCGCTGGCATCGCTTGCAGCGCGCATTGCCATGGCAGGTTTAGGGTTTAGGGTTTAGGGTTTAGGGTTTAGGGTTTAGGGTTTAGGGTTTAGGGTTTCGTGTTCAAGTAGGCTTTCCGGGCCGGCCGCGAGGGGAAATAGGACCCACAAGACTAGTCGGCTGGTGGGGTTGCGGACTCTCCCAAGTCTGAGCAAAAAAAGAGCGGAAGATCAGGTCTCCTTGAATCACTACCCAGTTGAGCTGGTACTAAACCCTAAACCCTAAACCCTAAACCCGAAAATCTGCCCTGAAGCCCTGAAAGCCCTTCTAAGCGCCTTAAGGCACCAAATGTACCAGAACTGCCCGTGACTTCCGGAGGCGCGGCTTGCTAAGAGCCCCTTCGATGCTTGACCGGCAGATTTGGAGGCTACAGAAGTGGAGCTTTGTGGAGGATTGGGGGTTTAGGGGGGTTTAGGGGGGGTTTAGGGGGCTGTAGGACCCTAGAATGATTTTTTGTGAACTCTTTGGGTTGCTTGGCTGCTTGTTCTCGTGTGTGCATGTGGGGGCATGGTTTTATAGGGCTTTAGAATGATGCAGGTCAAAGCACAAGCTTAGGGTTTTTTGTGTTTCAGGATTCAGGGCGTAGGTATTTAGGGAACCGGGGCCCAGGTTCACAGCACTGCGCAACAAGACGGACCCACCCTCGACTCCACCCGTCTGGGCTGCGTTCCGTCGCCCTGGGACAAGGGCTGCGCATGGCTAGGCTAGCCACTGAGGCGGGAGATCTGGGTTTAGGGATTGAACGGACCTCAGCAGCGGATTGGGGGATCGGGCCTGGATGTGTCGGGTTTATGGAGGTTTTAGCACGTAGGGAGCAAGCCACACATGAACAGTCGGGCCTCATCGTCATCCAGATCGATGACAATGGGCTTTGCCTCGTCAAGCAGAGCTCCAGAAGCCTTTGCACCCTAAACCCTAAACCACCCTCAGAAACGATTGCTACAGCAACTGACCTCAGGCTATAGATGTGCCAAACGGGAAAGATGTGTGGTGGGGCGAAGGCCGACTGACTCTGAAGTGGGAACCCGGTGGCAAGGAGGTTCCTGCAACAGAACGAGACTGGTACTTGCAGTTCACACAGCAATTACATATCTTCCAACCCTGCCTGCTCTATCAGAACCCCCCGAAGTGCCCAAAAGTCGTCAACCATCGACCCTTCCAAACTGCCTGGTTCACGCGCTTGCACGTTGCAGCGGCCTCTATCTCGGGAAGTTTGCCTCGAGAAAAAAGTGGCTTGACTGAGGGCGTACGACACTTAGGCAAGTTCAGGATATGCAGGGTTTCGGGGTTGCGTCTCAACCCCCTAAGCCTAAGCCCTAGAGCCGGAAACTCAACCCGAAAGCCCCTAAGGCTCGGGGTTTTGAGTTAGAGGTTAGAAGGTGTAGGGTTTCAAGCCGGGTTGCGCGCATGTGGGTTTAGGGGCTACCAAGTTTAGGTTCGTTTTGGGTTTCGGCGTGTGAAGATGAGAGCTCGAGGTTTAGGGTAGTGATTGAGGTGCCCATGGGCCGATGTCTGGTGCATCATAAAAAAAATGGAATGCCAGGTATTTGTTTTTGTATATAAAACATATAAGGGGCAGAAGGGTGAAGTCCTGAACTAGTCCTAAACACTGTACCTGAGGAAGGAACCAAAATCATACCGTCTGATTCCCTGCATCTGCAATCCTGCACCAAGTTTTGAGAACACCCTCTAAATTCTAACTGAGATGCTGCAAAGCGTGGGCTTGGTTGGCCAAACTAAAGCCGCAAGGGAAGCTGGAAGGGTGTTTAGGGTAGGGAGGCTTTAGGGGGTTTAGGGTTGAGGGTTGCGGGAGGAGGAATACATCCTCAAGTACTTTGGGGTGATGTTGGGCTTGGGTTCACGTAGGAGCCTTGTATAGTGAAACCCTGCTGCGCACCAAGCAAGCCCAAAATCTTCCAACCAAGACCCTAAACCCTAAACCCTAAACCCGGTTGGAGCCTAGGAGGCGATTCCCGCCACTCCGCAAACCCTGCGCAGGGGGGGGGGGGGGGGGGGGGGGGGGGGGGCGGGGTGTAGGGTGTAGGGTGTAGGGTGTTGGGTGTTGGGTGTAGGGTGTAGGGTGTAGGGTGTAGGGTTTAGGGTTTAGGGTTTAGGGTTTAGGGTTTAGGGTTTAGGGTTTAGGGTTTAGGGTTTAGGGTTTAGGGTTTAGGGTGGGGTTCGGGCCTTGTGTCTTGAGTTTCGCAGTTTTTCGTCAAGGCTTAAACTGGTTGAAAGGAAGACTTCGCCCATGCTCCGTCACATGGAGGGTAGTTCAAGCCCTCTAGCATGGAATCCTTGTAAACAGGGCTACCAAAGCTCCCGAATTCAAATCGAACAACGCTTGGGTGGTTCAGGCTTAAGCTTCTGGAGGAAAAACATATAAATAAGCCCTAAACCTCACCCCCACCCGATTGAACCCACTCCGCAACAAGCACTTCGTGTTCCAGTGAAGCAAGACACCCTACTCTGCATCGTGAAACCACTTCGTGATTCAGAAGCGCCGGCGCTGAAGTACTGCGGCAGCTAGGTCCTCCACTTCAAGCTTTGGCTTTGCAGGGTGTACACGAAAGGGGAGGTAGGCGGAAAAAATTAGCAAGCCCTCCCATCCCCAAGTGATCTGGGAAGGTCTGCTATCACTCCCCATAAAACCAGGACGTGGTCTTTAGGTTGCGGTGGAACCAAGTAGCTACCAGCACTTGCACAGCAAAGAAACAACAAAACGCATAAACAAAGGCACCCAAAACGGATCCAAGACGACATCTACATTGACGTAACCGAAGGCCCCCCAAGGCTGCGTAATAATAGGCGACCGGTTGACTGAACTGGGTATTTTGAGTGGTCATTGCCACGATATCTTGGGATGTTGCCCTAATATTAACAGTCCTTCATAGGGATTAGAGTACCCCCTTTTATCATCCCAATTAAAGGCTGTTAGTATAACGGGGGAGCATCCCAAACGACATCACAAACAGAAAACGCAGCAAACCCCTCAAAGACTCGAACAATCTGAAGCTCGATTCCCGAGTTCGGGGTTCGGGGATCAAGGCTGCTAGAAAAGCCCTAAACCCAGAAGGGGAGAAGGACATGTGCCGAAACTTCCAGCTCGAAGCAAGCACGGGGAAAAGGGCACCCCATACCCCCCCAAAATGTACCTAACCCCCCACCCCCCCCCCCCCCCCCCCCCAAAAAAAAAAAAAAAAAAAAATCTTCGAACACCCACACACTCTCTGGACAGAGATACTCTGGGATTGGGCACTCCAGGGACACTCCGGGGGGCACCCCAGAATTTTTTCGGGACACTCTGAGGCTGGGCACTCCCGGGAGCACTCCAGGGAGACTCCAGGGGATGAGCGAGGAGAAGAGTTCCAAGCAAGGAGACGAGTTATCTGTGAGGAGAGGAGTTGAGTTTAAAATCTAACAGCCCCACACCCAGATGGGGAATAATACATTTTTTGACTTCGAACATCCCCACCCTCTCTGGGTAGAGATACTCTGGGGTTGGGCATTCCAGGGACGCTCTGGGGTTGGGCACTGCAGGAACACTCTGGGGTTGGGCACTCCAGGGACACTCTGGGGCTGGGCACCAGCGACTCTGGCTTTGGGCACTGCAGGGACAGTCTGGGCTTGGATGAGCGAGGAGTAGACAAGGCGAGGGCAAGAGTTCCAGAGTCGAGTTTAAAATCCAACAACCCCACCCCACACCGCGGGTGGCGAATAATAATCAATCCAAACCCCAAAGCCAAACATGCAAGCTCAAAAAAGCACAACACCCCCCCTCCCCCCCCCCCACCCTCCCGCATAAATACAAAAGAAGAAACACAACCCCAAAGGGGGGAGTCCTGGCAGGCCATGGTCTTGGAGAAGCTAAGCCGACTGCGGAATGGCCGGGAGCACCTCAGGGCCGGCGAGGGCTCTTGGCTTTTAATTGAATCCGGCGACGCATCGGTTGAGCCCAGGTGCTCCCGGAAGCACCTTCCTCCGCCAAATCTCCTGCATGCAAAAAAGGCGGGGCCTTTGGATTTGGGGTTCTGTTTTTAGAGAGCTTAGGGTTTAAGGTTAAGCGGCTTCGGGTTCTAGACTGTAGGGCTTGGGGGGGAAGGAGGAGGGAATGCCTGGAACACGGTGGCAATTAGCTGGGGGTGTGTTCTGCTGTTGTCCAGTGACAAGAGTACCCACACCACACCTTCCCCCCCCCCCGGAGCCCCCACCTCCTCAAAGCCCAGCTCGACAACCCCAAACACCCCAAGTTCCCCACCCAAAGCTCGAAGCCCTATATAAACCCCAAACCCTAAGCCCTAAACCCTAAACCCTAAACCTTGCGGTGACTGCCTCAGGGATCTGATGGCGAGTCGATAGCCGCAGGCCAAGGAGGAGGAGGAAGATCAGCTGCCTGAAGCGGTTTAGGGTTTAGGGTTTAGGGTTTAGGATTTAGGGTCTGAAGCCTTGGCCCCATGCCGCAATGAGAATTCAAGGCTCAAGGTGTAGGGCACTAAGGGCCCATGTACCTGTATTATGCTTGGGACCTGAAGCTACTAAATAGGAACTCGTTTAAGGGCCAAGTAGATACAACATGCGCACATGGAATCTGTTGAACGGTTCAGGACAGCCCTCAACCCTGAAGCTCATCCGAGGCGCTTCAAAACCTTCCGGGGAGTATAAGATTCTTGCTTCTGGCGGTAGCTGTTTAGACCCAACCAAGATCCCGACCAGACATCTCGCTAGTGGGAAGCCAGGGTAAGAGGCTCAGGGCTTTTTAGGCTTAGGGTCAGGCGCTATTTGCAATGTGGCAAAGGTCGGCGGGGCTTGCGGAGGGATTACACGTCTATGTCAATCCCTACGTCACTACACTTAATGTCCGATCGGAAGACCTCATGCCCTCTAAACCCTGGGCTCACCTAAACCCTGAACCCTGAAACCCTGAACCCTGATACCCTAAACCCTCAGCCCCAAACCCTTTGTCCTACACCCCACCCGAGACCCGGAATATTCCACACCGAAGCGGAAGGATCGGTAATCAAGTCCCAGGCCTCCGCCACTCCCTTGGTCCAGACACCAAGAGGCCTGAGGGGGTTATAGGGCTGAAGGGTTGAAGGGTTATAGGGTTGTAGGCTTATAGGCCCTTTGGGGTTTATAGGGTTCAGGCTTCAGGGTTGTAGGGCGAGAGGCTGAGGGAAATGCACCTAAATTCTTTGTAGTTTTCCCCGGCTTTTTTTCTTTTGGGCTTCAGGTTCCTCGCAACCCCGAACCTAAACCCTCACCTAGTGAAAGCTGTGCCTTCACAGGCGGCAAGCCTGGTTTCGGGTTCAGAGTACCTTTGGTTCCCGAAATCCTGGTCTAGGAGCCGGTATACATGTGCCCGACAACCACGCACAGCAGAACTATGAACATCTCACTAGATCTTGTCCGCGCACGGGCTTTGTCTAGGCTTGATAGCCCTGCAACCGTACTACAAACAAGGGTAAGTTTTTCGTGTTGGTTACGGAACACAGAGCCCAAGACGTGCAAAAGGGTACCACCGGGCTGCCAAGTTGGGTACCCAATTCCCTAACTCCCTACGAAGAACCCTTAGAGAAATGCACAAGTCTGAGTTGGAGCTAGGGCGGCCTTCTGGAACCGATACACTAACCCCTATAAACCTTGAACCCTATAATCCCTGAACCTTAAAGGGCTCTCTCCTTCCCCCCCCGCTCAAGGCTTTCAAAGATGTATGGTGTAAGGAAGGGTGCAAGGAGGGCGGGGCTCAGAGTCTTTAGACCCCACACCCCCCACACCCCCACCCTCAACCCTCAACCCTAAACCCTAAACCCTAAACCCTAAACCCCTAAACCCCTAAACCCTAAACCCTAAACCCTAAACCCCCCCCCCCCCCCCCCCGCGGCGTGTGGGACCTTCTGGAAAGGCGAGCAGGAGCCGCGGGAGGGAGTTCCGAGACGCTGCGACGCGCAGCGTGCACTGAGACGGGCCATCGAAAGTCTCGGCTCTGCACTGCTTCGTGGGGTTTAGGGTTTAGGGTTTAGGGTTTAGGGTTGAGGGTTGAGGGTTGAGGGTTGAGGGTGGGGGTGTGGGGGTTAGGGTTTAGGGTTTAGCAGAGGATCCGACATCCGCAAGGGTGCTTGCTCTAGTTGCATAGCGGCATCCAATGTCCCTACAACACAAGCTTGCCTCTTGGGGTATTTCTGGCCACATGACTCCACTGGATCATAAGCACCCTGTATCCCTCTATATAATTGCATATATATATATATATATAGGGGGTCCTAAGCCGAGTATGAATGCCAGAATCACCTGCCGATCATGGGGAGATGGCTGCTTGACTGGGACCTGCTTGCCTCTACAGCCATAGTCATCCGTTCTTTTTGCTAGGGCGAGTCTCTAGATTCAACACCTTGCTAGCATGGGCTCCCATTGTAAAGATGACGAGCCAGGAGATCAACAAAAAGTTCTCCACGCGCTCTCGCACTTGTGCCGCCCCGAAGCCGAAATGGATCTCCCCCAAGCCGTGCTACTCAAAGCGTTTGGCAAAGTGCTGGCTTCCTTTCAGGCAGGAGTCTATGTCTAAGCAAGTGCTTTGAGGGCTTAGGGCTTTGGGTGTTGGGGGTGGGGGGTCCAGAGCGAGGCCCCGAAATCTGGGGCCCTCAGAACCCCCTTTTGAAGGCATTGACTTTCAAGCTTGTAAACACAAGGACTAGTTAGTCCAGGCAGCAAGGGTCTCCTTATCCTCTTGCTATGGACCGGGGGATCCTCATCTCGGGGGGTTTGGTCAGGTTCTAGAGGGAACCCTAAACCCTAAACCCTACAGTAAACCCTAAACCCTAAACCCTAAACCCTTTCGGTTTTAGGGTTGAGGAACAGGTCTTCGAACTCTTAACCTGCCACTGTCGGATGTTGGTAAGACAGGAGCCTGTGAAGCACGCCAATGTAGAGACTCGACCTCCAAGCGAGGGCTTATGTAGGGTCGAGGGTTGAGGATTTTTGTGGTTTAGGGTTGCGGCACCAGGTTGAAGTCTTCGGATCTTTGGGGGGAGCTTTGCGGCTGAAAGATGCACCTGGAACTCTCTAGGGTTCCTGATGGAAGGGGGTTTCAAGCGAGGTCAAGCGAGGTCAAGCGAGGTAATTAGGTAAGCCAAGGTTCCCGGATGCTCCCTACTGTTTCCCTAATGCTCCCGAAGCCCGACACTTCCCTAAGCTTCCCCCTGAGGTTTTCCAGGTACCTACCTCCCGTTAGAACCATACAAAAAGCAAACAAAAATAGACAAGACTCATTTTACAGGAGGCCTAGAGCAACACTGTGAATCGCATCGGGAGCACATGTGCTTTGTACCTTTCGGGGGTTTCGGGCGGCATTCCCTTCACAAAGCCTTCCGACCGGCGAGGCCTCTTGTGTTGGCCGCTGCAGGGCTACTTCCGATACGGCGGGGCGGCCTGGCATCATCCTTATTCAACCTTGAACCCTGATACCTCGTAAACCCAAAACCCTCAACACCCGGAAACCTGAGTCCTTCTGGCTTTGGATTTATGGGCTCAAGGTTCAGTCCTGGGTTTACGGAAGATCCTGAGGTCGCCTGGCGCTGCCTGTGCTTTCCTTCAATAGGATTTCAGGGGTTTAGGGTTTAGGGTTTGGGGTTCAGGGTTTAGGATTGAGGCCTTACAGTTTAAGAGTGTGAGCAGTTTAGGGGTCTAGAACACAGCACGCAGAAAGTGTTTAGGTGCACTGAGGGCAGAATACATCAGCCCTTCGCATACATCAAACCTTCGCACATCAACCCTAAACCAGAACCCAAACCTCGCAGCATTGAGATCTAAACAGCCTAACCGCTTAAGCCCTAAACCCTAAACCCCAAACACTAAACCCTATAACCCCTGGCACCCCTATAGTCCCAAAACCCTATACTCTAAACCCTAGACCCTAGACCCTAGACCCTACTCCGTTTAGGGATTAAGGTTGTTTCGGGGGGACCCTGGGTGTGAAAAACGCGCCTGGTAGCAATGCAACCAGTCGACGCCCATCGCGGGCGCAGCTCGCCTGGGATTTCAGGGATTTTAGGGTTTGGGTTTGGGGGTTAGGGAAGCTTCGGGTTTAAGGTTTATGGGTATAAGTTTGGGGTGTATAGGGTCCAGACGCCCACTTTGTTTTAGTTTTCATTGCAGCTTACTGAAGAGTCGAGGTAACCTATGACGATACATGCACGGCTCTCTTCAGGCATCCCCGTGACCAGCCCCCTCAAGATGCCCCAAAGGCCAAGAAATTCGCCGCAAAGCCTCAACACGACCACAAGCCCTATAAATCCTACAGCCCGGACCATAGCCCAATAACGAACCCTCCTAAAACCCTAAACCCTAAACCCTAAACCCTAAACCCTAAACCCTAAACCCTAAACCAACCCCCACCTCAACCCACCCACGCCGAGGAACCGCATCCACACCCAGCCTGGCCCATGGCCTCCAAAGACTGGCTGGTTCTTAGTAGGGAATGAGGGAATGAGGTACTCTATGTTTCCCCTGAAAAAAAAATACTATATATATAATATGATATATATATATATAATATATGCATATATTGGGCTCATTACCCCATTCCCTACTAAGAACCAGGGGAAGAAGGTCTCTGCCTTGGGCTTGGGGAATGAAGTATGGCATCGGAGTGTGTGTTGCTGCAGGATTTAGTAGCACAGTTTCGAGTTCGGGGGTGTTTCGGTGTTTTGGGAGTTTGGGTCGGGCATTTGGGCTTGCTGGGTTGACAGGGATTCCATTGTAGGCATGCCCACTGCCCGGTGTTTTTCCCACTCCGCGCACGCTCGCATACCTTAGGCAAGTCGGAGAGGGTCTCCTCGGGGCCCCCGTGGCACATCCAGATGCAAAGGGCCAGCCGCCCCCGCAAGTACTCCCCCCCATCTCAAACTTCGCTCTGAGCCGAACTTTCTTTTGATATAAGCAAGGTTCCATCAGGGCAAGCTGTATAAATAATAAAGGTCTACGCCCTAAACTCTATATTAGGTCTAAACCCTAAAGCCTGAATGCCCACAATCCGGAGAGCACGCGGGTGCTGCTGGAACCCTTGTTGGGCCGCCCTCTGCATCGAGGCCTCCGGCCAGTAAAAAAGCCCAAATCTCTACACACCAACGGCCCCAAAGGCCGAAGCCCAAACCCTACAGATCGCAAACCCGCAGCCCTGAAAACCTTAGATATCGTAAACCTTAAACCCTGAACCCTAAACCCTAAACCCTAAACCTTGAACCCTGAAGCCAAAACCCTACACCTCCCACCTCTTGGACAAATTCTTGGAGCCTAGGCGTCGCTTCGGCGCCAGTAAGGGGCCCTCTCTGAGGGTCCCTGACATGGGGTTTAGGCTTTACTGTAGGGTTTTTAGAGGCTTTATGGCTGTGGGTTTTGCAATTGATATCGGCAGAATTGTACCTTGTAGGTTCGACGTGCTGTGGCGAAGAGCGGCGCCTTAAAACTTGAAGCTTGCCATTCCCAGCCCACACGAGAGAATCACGATGTCACTACGCAGCCGTGGACGATCTTCGTCCGAAAACAGCTGGCATCACAGGCCACCTCGCGGCAGCCAGAATTCTGATGGCCAGGCCCTGTTCTGCCACAGAGGGGTTCCCCACCTCACGGGGCCTGGCAAATCAATCCCCGGCCTTGCGCGGGGTCTTCGCCGAGTTCCGTAACCATGTACATGCCGCCCAACTATACTCCCCTTAGCAGCTTAGATCCTTTTAAAAATCTTGCCTTCTGAAATAAGAAAGCAAACTACACTTCCTAAGGGGGCTATAGGTAAAGATGGAAGACCCCCTACGTGCCCAGGAGAGGCTCCAGTAGTTGCTTCAGGCCAGCAAATTGTGTCTGCACCTGCGGGCGAAAATGACTTGGGGGCGTGGGCCTGAGGATATCTGGCCAGTTCATGACAGTGCTCCAGTTAGAATTCCTGTTTGAGTATTCAGTATAACAGGGTGTTTTAAACAGGCAACCAAAAAGGACCTAGAGGACTGCCGTGTCGGGGGGTGAGGGCCTCCAAGAGGCCTGGATCTTCACCTGAGCTTTGATCAAGTCTAACGACCTTCTTCCAAGGGTACTTGTTTCGTTTTGCGGGGGGGGAGGGGGGAGTTTGATGCAAGAAGGATGATTGCTTCTCAGGAATTCCGGGGGCATTCCCTCAGCCGAGACCAGATTCTTGGCATTCTCATCATACATCGCGATGGGGTTGCCCAAGAGGATGCTCCGAACCTCTATGATACCCTAAACCCTACACCCTGAACCCGAACCCTAGGCCCGAAACTCTGCCCCAAACCTCCGATCGAAGCTGGCGCAGCTCGAAGCCGAGATCTTCCACCTCTCTCCATGCAGCCGGGCTCATGTATTTACCTACTGTTTGCTGAAAATGCCCCAAAATAAACATATCCTTCCCTATCAATAAGGGGATTGTTGTTGCTCCTTTTTTGGTGGTTCTTAAGCAAATAGTACTTACTGCCTTGTGTACCTTTGTTGCTATTCTTACACTTGTCATGGCCATCCTGAAAATGGTCATGATTGATTATGATTCGTGGTTGCACTTTCTGAGTATTCTTAGTATTCCAGATTTGGGAGCTTCGGGGCTTTGGTGCCTGAGACAGTCGAGCGTTTGTAGCCGCGAGATGCGCGTGTCTGTCACATTACAGCCCTGACAACCCTAAACCCTAACCCTAAACCCTAGACCCTAAACCCTAACGCCCCGCCCCGAATGGCGGGATTTCAGGGTGAACGGACTTTGAATCCAGGCCTTGGCAGCCTGCAATCAAAACCCCATCACGCCCATCAGCCCGACAAACCCTTGTAAGCCTTCTACACCCTGAAGCCCCCCCTCCCCAGGCCCCACCCCACCCCTCGCCACACCCCCCCCTCAAAGAAAAAACAACAATAATCATAATACTAACAATAAAACGAAGAGTAATAACAATAATACTATAAAAAAATAAGGGCAACGACAACAATAATAGTAATAACAAGAAGAAGAATTTAAAAATGATAATAATGATGGTAGTGGTAGTGGTAGTGGTAGTGGTAGTGGTAGTGGTAGTGGTAGTGGTAGTGGTAGTGGTAGTGGTAGTGGTAGTAGTAGTAGTAGTAGTAGTAGTAGTAGTAGTAGTAGTAGTAGTAGTAGTAGTAGTAGTAGTAGTAGTAGTAGTAGTAGTAATACTAAGAAGAAGAAAATAGTAATAATCATCATCATCATAGTCCTTTTTTCAGAACAAAATTCATAGCAATAATAACAATAATAAAAGGTTCGTAGAAATAGTAGTGAAAAATATAAAATCATCATCATCATCATCATCACCATCACCATCATCATCATAACAATAATAGTAATCATCAGAACAACAACAGTAGTAATAATAGTAAAAGAAATGTAATGATACGATTAACAACAATCATAATCATACTAAGAATACGAGTTGTTAGCATGAAAGAAGAAGGCAGGCCTCCCTTGTCTCTTCTCCGTGGCCACCTTTGGACTTCATCAGCTTCTCCACCGCTTCCTGCAGAAGGGCGCTAGGAGAGGCTGCTTGAAACTGATTGCTTCAAGCTTATCGGGGGCCTGAATAATTAGAATAGGGTCTTGGGGCTCATTACGGTATCATTACAAAAGGGACCATAAGGGAAGATTATTGGAAGTTCTTCGACCCCTATATTCGGGGTTAAGGGCTCATTCCTGAAGAGGTTGCAGGGCTCCGGGCTGGGGGGTGTAGGGGCCCAGAACTCAAAACCCTAACTCCATCCCAATTTGGAGGCCGGCTGGCCTGCAGTTCCTGCCGGAGCTCTGTCACCTGCATTTCGAGGCAGGGCATGGCTGATGTGTTTCGGGTTTAGGGTTTCGGGGTTGGGGGCGGGGGAGGAGGGGGGGAGGGAGTAGGCTGTCCAAAAGCGAGAGGGGATGCTAGGGGTTAAGGTCTGCAAGTCCACATCAAGAGCTCTAAAGAAGCGTGAATCTATAACGTTTAGGGTTGGAACCCGATAAGCCCTATGATTATAAGCCCGCCAAACCCTGTGGTACGAAGTGCCAAACACCCCGGCTCTGCATCCCAACGCCCGTAAGGACACTTTTGAATCCAACGTCCACAACACATTGCAATGAATATAGCTTCAGTCTTATAAAGTCAAGATCCCGCAGGAACCCCTGAGCTGAGGAAGGTAGGCTTTTAGTGGCGTCAGAAGATAATGAGACTTCGCTCTTCTAAGAAGTTGCTGGCGTCCACAGGTCTCAACACATTGGCCCTTGCAAGCAACTCTTGCTTCTCTTGCTTCTGTGGTTCAGGTCTAGCTTGCCCAGAGACCGAAGAAGTAACAGGGTGCCCTGTTCTTGTGTAGTGGAGGGCTTTGGGCCTTCTGATGAACGTTGGACTCTCCGTCCAGGTCAGCCGATAGCTCCCCCCAGGAAGATGGAGGTTGCGGGTGCGCGTACCAGACCTCATGGTTTGGGGGTTTGAAATTGGGGCCGGAATTAATACTAATACTGTTCCCTCAGGGTCTCTGTATAAATTATACCTATTCTAATTGTTCAGGCGCCTGTATTATTATGGAGTTTAGGTGTTTCTGGATATGAGACTGGCAGGGTTTGAAGCTCTCATTTGTGATTCGATCACATAGCTACTTGATCTTGAGCGCCATCATCTGAATCCCTTGTGGTTTAGTGTGATCTCCAGACCGCTGAATGCCACTGAACATCTTTCAACAGACAACCAAGTTCTGCGAAACAGTGCGAGACTGAATGAGCTGACAAGAGGCGTAGTCTGTGTGCTGGGTGCTACGGACCTTCCTCCGCCGACAGGGAAGCCGCTCCCAGGCATAGTTCACGGTGAAGTGGTCAAGGACGAACCGTGCCTGGCCGTGTCGAAGGTTGGGTTCAGAGTTTAAGGGTTTCTGATGGATTTTTCGTGGTTCAGGCCGAACGGAGCTGCGGCGGGTGAGGGGGTCAAGTCCTTGTGTTTCTACAGGCTTGGCGTGTGTGAAAGTCAACATTAAATGCGCGACCCTCAACCACAAAGCCTTAAACCCTCAACCCTCAACACCTTAAACCCTGGACCCGTGGAAGCCCGAACCCCTGTAAGCCCGTAAACCCCAAACCCTAAACCGTAAACACTAGACCCTAGACCCTAAACCCTAAACCCTCCGAAACAAAAGCCGTCAAAAGTCTCTTCTCGGCCTGCTCCAGTAGGAAGAGGCGCTCGCGGTGCTCCCAGGCGCGGTTGTAGCTTTCACCTCGACGTCTGACGGTTTCGGGTTTATAGGTGTTAAGTCGGTTTCAGGGCTTAGGGCTTAGGGTTTAGGGTTACGAGCATACGGCTGAGAGGGGTTGAAGAGGTTTAGGGCGCAGGCTTGTGTAATGCTTGCCGGTTCTTGGTTGCGGTAGTTTTGGGAGCTTGCAGAATCTCTCCCAGGACCAACAAGCTCTACTCCTGA